CAGGAGACAGCTGTAGACTAACAGTGACACTACGTAGAGAGAGACACAGCGAGACAGGAGACAGCTGTAGACTAACAGTGACACTAAGTAGAGAGAGACACAGCGAGACAGGAGACAGCTGTAGACTAACAGTGACACTACGTAGAGAGAGACACAGCGAGACAGGAGGCAGCTGTAGACTAACAATGACACTAAGTAGAGAGAGACACAGCGAGACAGGAGACAGCTGTAGACTAACAGTGACACTACGTAGAGAGAGACACAGCGAGACAGGAGACAGCTGTAGACTAACAGTGACACTAAGTAGAGAGAGACTCAGCGAGACAGGAGACAGCTGTAGACTAACAGTGACACTCACGTAGAGAGAGACACAGCGAGACAGGAGACAGCTGTCTCGACGGTCAATGGTATAGTGTATAGCAGATTGTATAATAATAAATAGTATAAAATTGTAATGTTTAATACAATGTTTAAGGCAATATATAGTATCGTAATTGTATAGTGAATATACAGCAGTGTGATATACAGTAGGGTGGATAGAATAATACATAGTGTAATATTACACTATGTATTATTGTAAAGTATAGGGTGGTGTATAGTAATCTAACCTATATAATTCATTTTTTGTCTGTTTGTCTGTCTGTTTGTCCGTCTGCGTACGCTCCCTTCCGGGGGATTTAGCTCTCGGACCGTGGGGTTCGCCGAGATTAAATCTTGCCGGTGGGCACGCCCCCGGCCCACGGTAAACTTAGGCATTTCCGATTTTTCGTCTCTAAACTTTAAATCGGACCGATTATCTATTTAGTGCGATTGCTCAATATTTATTTATTTATTTAATATTGCCGGCCGGCGCGGACCACGGCGGTTGCCCCTGGCAACGGGTAGCAACAACTTCGCTGCGGGGTGGACGCCATTTTTAATTCCCGTTACAAATATGCGCATGCATTAACACGCGACTCTTGAGGTAAATTCATCAAAGTTTCACGTCCTCTTCACTCCCCTTCCACCCCAATGTGTGCAATTACTATTATAGGGTCGGTAGATAATAAAATTATAGCGATTAGACAGTATTATTGTAGCGCGGGGGGGGGGGGCGTAACAGCCCCAGTACCCACCCTCAGCCGGGTGGGCAATCTAGGCGAGGCCGGAGGCTCTGCACGGTACTAGGCCTCGACACGCAACTCTGTCAGGTGACGACTTTGTGGTATAAACTCGATATACCCAGCGTTGCCCGGGGGAAAAATACATATTGCTTAAGCCTCCTAAGTATATAATATGGCTATTATTCCCCATACATGTTGCTTTTGTGACCAGAACTTTATATAAAGGAAAGAATTACACAAATGCACAGGTTTTTCCTAGCAAAATAGCTCCATTTGTAAATATCACTGTCCGTGTCAAAAAAAAATAAGTTTGAGGGGAATTTTCTCCAATTTGTAACTTTTGAGATGTCAGCGTATAGAAAATAACACTTACTACCCAGGTACTAACACATGTGTAGTTTTTGGTAGTGAGGGTGAGTGGTTGTTATGAGGGTGAGTGGTGAGGGTGAGCAGTGAGGATGAGTGGTGATTGGTGAGGGTGTGATTGGTGAGGATGAGTGGTGAGTGGTCAGGGTGAGTGGTGAGGGTGAGTGGTGAGCGGTGAGGGTGAGTGTTGAGGGTGAGTGGTGAGTAGTGATGGTGAGTGGTGAGCATGACTGGTGAGTGGTGAGGGAGAGTGGTGAGGGAGAGTGGTGAGGGTGAATGGTGAGGGTAAGTGGTGAGTGGTGAGGGTTAGTGGCAAGTGGTGAGTGGTGATTGGTGAGGGTGTGATTGGTGAGGATGAGTGGTGAGTAGTGAGGGTGAGTGGGGAGGGTGAGTGGCGGTTGTGAGTGGTGATTAGTGAGGGGTGAGGGTGAGGTTGAGTGGTGAGGGGAGGTTGAGTGGTGAGGGTGAGTGGTGAGCGGTGAGGGTGAGCAGTGAGGGTGAGTGGTAATTGGTGAGGGTGTGATTGGTGAGGATGAGTGGTGAGGTGAGTAGTGAGGGTGAGTGGTGAGCGGTGAGGGTGAGTGTTGAGGGTGAGTGGCGAGTAGTGATGGTGAGTGGTGAGCATGACTGGTGAGTGGTGAGGGAGAGTGGTGAGGGAGAGTGGTGAGGGTGAATGGTGAGGGTGAGTGGTGAGTGGTGAGGGTGAGTGGCAAGTGGTGAGGGTGAGTGGTGATTGGTGAGGGTGTGATTGGTGAGGATGAGTGGTGAGTAGTGAGGGTGAGTGGGGAGGGTGAGTGGCGGTTGTGAGTGGTGATTAGTGAGGGGTGAGGGTGAGGTTGAGTGGTGAGGGGAGGTTGAGTGGTGAGGGTGAGTGGTGAGCGGTGAGGGTGAGCAGTGAGGGTGAGTGGTAATTGGTGAGGGTGTGATTGGTGAGGATGAGTGGTGAGGGTGAGTAGTGAGGGTGAGTGGTGAGCGGTGAGGGTGAGTGTTGAGCGTGAGTGGTGAGTAGTGATGGTGAGTGGTGAGCATGACTGGTGAGTGGTGAGGGAGAGTGGTGAGGGTGAATGGTGAGGGTGAGTGGTGAGGGTGAGTGGCAAGTGGTGAGGGTCAGTGGTGATTGGTGAGGGTGTGATTGGTGAGGATGAGTGGTGAGTAGTGAGGGTGAGTGGGGAGGGTGAGTGGCGGTTGTGAGTGGTGATTAGTGAGGGGTGAGGGTGAGGTTGAGTGGTGAGGGTGAGTGGTGAGCGGTGAGGGTGAGCAGTGAGGGTGAGTGGTAATTGGTGAGGGTGTGATTGGTGAGGATGAGTGGTGAGTGGTGAGGTGAGTAGTGAGGGTGAGTGGTTGTTGTGAGGGTGAGTGGTGAGTGGTGAGAGTGAGTGGTGAGGGTGAGTGGTGAGCGGTGAGGGTGAGTGGTGAGGGTGAGTGGTGATTGTTGAGGGTGTGATTGGTGAGGATGAGTGGTGAGTAGTGAGGGTGAGTGGTGAGGGTGAGTGTTGAGTGGTGAGGGTGAGTGGCGGTTATGAGTGGTGATTAGTGAGAGGTGAGTGGTGAGGGTGAGCGTGAGTGGTGAGTGGTGAGGGTGAGCAGTGCGGGTGAGTGGTGATTGGTGAGGGTGTGATTGGTGAGGATGAGTTGTGAGTGGTCAGGGTGAGTGGTGAGCGGTTGTTGTGAGGGTGAGTGGTGAGGGTGAGTGGCGGTTGTGAGTGGTGATGGGTGAGTGGTGAGGGGTGAGTGGTGAGCGTGAGTGGTGAGGGTGAGTGGTGAGGGTGAGTGCTGAGTGGTGAGGGTGAGTGGTGAGAGAGTGGTTAGTTTTGAGGGTGAGTGGTGAGGTTGAGTGGTGAGGGTTAGTGGAGAGTGGTGAGTGGTGATTGGTCAGTGGTGATTGGTGAGGATGAATGGTGAGTAGTGAGGGTGAGGTTGTGGTGAGGGTGAGTGGTGGTTGTGACGGTGAGTGGTGAGGGTGAGTGGTGAGGCTGAATGGTGAGGGTGAATGGTGAGAGTGGTGAGGGAGAGTGGTGAGGGAGAGTGGTGAGGGTTAGTGGTGAGGGTTAGTGGTGAGGGTGAGTGGTGAGAGAGATTGGTGAGGGAGATTGGTGAGTGGTGAGTTGTGAGGGTAAATGGTGAATAGTGAGTGGGAGTGGTGAGTGGTGAGGATGAGTGGTAAGGGTGAGTTGTGAGTGGTGAATGGTGAGGGTGAATGATGAGCACAGTCAATATACACTGCTGTTATCATACCAGGTACCACCACCACAATATGTACTCCTCTCATCATAGCAGGTACCAACACAGCAGTATGCACTGCTGTAGTGATAGCAGGTACGACCTCAGTCGGTATACACTGCTGTAGTGATAGTAGATACTGCTATCGAGTTGGTAGATACCGCTATAGTAAATACTAAAACAGTCAGTATATACCACTACAGTCAGTCAATACTGCTACAGTCAGTATATACTACTATACAGTCAGTACATGCTGCTACGGTGAGTAGCTACTAGAGTCAGTAGATACTATTAAAGAGTGAGTAGATACTGCTATAGATTTTTTAGTTACTACTATAGTCAGTGGATACAACTATAGAGTCAGCAGATACTATACAGTTAGTCGTTACGAGTATATAGTCGGTAGATACTACTGTAGGCCCAGTAAATACTACTATGGTCAGTAGTTATTACAGTCACTAAATACTACTACACAGTCAGTAGCTACTACTGGCTCAGTAGATACTACGGTACAGTCAGTAGATACTACTACAGAGTCAATAGATACCACTTCCTCTGTTGTATGTAAGGTGTTGTTAGTATATATACCTACGAGGGGTAAAGATATTTTTTGAGGGGGGGGGGGGGGGGGGAGACCACAATTTTCGGAAACATTTTGACATCAACTATTTACCCCACACTTTCTACAACTTTTTGGACTTGTGAAAGCCTCATATATTTGTTGGTGGAGAAATGTACAAACAGCCCACCGGGCTTTGACAATACCTTAGTATCTGTGTATATATATGTAAGGTTTTTAAGAAATATATTTTTCACCCGGGCAAAGCCGGGTACTTCTGCTAGTACAGTATATAATGTAACGCTGGGTTTGTCTATGGCAGCATATAGTACGGGGTGAGTGTGAAATGGACTCGAACCTGCACCTCTGCATTGCAAGTGCAGTGAGCTGACGCCCCCCGCGTGTGGAGGGTAAAGTTGTGGGTACACCCACCCCGCTCCAACGGGTCTGGACCAGCGTGGAAGAGTAGACCAAATACCCCACATCGCGGCCTCTAGTGGAGGCCATTGCTGCCACGACAACAACTCCGTCCCTCCAGATACAAAACAACTAAATGTAACTCATCCCATCAGCCACAATCTGGCAGTGCCTCTCCTCATCATCATCATCAGCAGCAGGCCGCGCTCTGCTGGGAGCAGCGCCGTGAACTCAGCAGGCGCCCAGAGCGTAACGGCTGTGAGCCAGGCGCCTCCTCTGCCTCCCGTCTCCGCCACCGCCACTGCTGATGTGTCCACACGGTGCAAGGTTCTCACCTTGTTCGGGCTGAGTCGATGTAGAGGAGGACCAGCCAGCGAGCCGCCGCTTCAGCAGCGACGGTGGCCGTGAGCGGGAATCCGAATCAGCCGCTCGCCACCCACAATGCACAGCGCTGCCTCCACTCGCCCCGGCCTCGGCGGGGGGAGGGGGCGGGGGCGAGGGGGCGGGGCGAGGGGGGAGAGGGGGCGGGGCGAGGGGGTGGGCATGGGGGGGGCTCGGGTGAGGGGGCGGGGCTCCACGTCTCGGTGGGCGTGGTCACCTGGTACCGCCCCCTCGTCTCGAGCCACGCGCTTCCCCCTGGCAGTTGGTCCGTGAGAGAGGCGGGGAGAGACTCTGGCGAAGGTGGAGGAGTGGATCCTCGCTGTGGGTGGGTGGTGCGGTGGTGCGAGTCTGTGTGTGTGGTGTGAGTCTGTGTGTGTGTGGAGTGGTTAACGCGCTGCGCTATGAACCCGGTGACCCAGAATTGGATTCCCGCTCAAGGTCAACACCAGTGACGATTATATGAACCGGTCCTGGGCCTCCCCTAGGTCGACTCAGCCTCAGATGAGTACCTGGTGTGGTGTGTAAATATCGCCACTCGGAGACAAAGGCGGCCGGGCGCGGTGTTGGCCACCCACGCCCTCGTGTGCTGTTCCGGCCTTCATAGGTGATGCTGGCTAACAGCACTTGCCCCAACAGTTTATTTCAGCTATAAGGGGGATCTTTATCTTTGTTGTTCGTGGTGGTGGTGTTGTTGGTGGTGTTGATGGTGGTGGTGTTGATGGTGGTGTTGTTGGTGTGGATGGTGGTGTTGATGGTGGTGCTATTGGTGTTGTTGGTGGTGGTGCTGTTGGTGTTGTTGGTGGTGCTGGTGATGGTGTTGATGATGGTGATATTCTTGTTGGTGGTGGTACTGGTGATGTTGGTGGTGATGTTGATGGTGTTAGTGGTGGTGGTGTCGGTGGTGGTTCCAACGAGCCATCCTGGGTTTAACCTAGCTGGATTGTGTGAGGAGCTCACAGATCCTTGAAGGATCTGGACACATTCCCACCAGTAAGCTCCTCCGGCAGGCAAGGCTGCGTTGGCTGGGTCTTGTAGCCCGCATACCCAAGCAGTTTCTTTTTGGCCGCATAAAGGGGGCTAAACGGCCACGACATGGGCTGTCGAAAATAGGGACTGATGCTGTATGGGAGGATGTTGAGTTGAGTAGACTTGTGAAAGACTGGTACCAGCGGTGCAAATAGCATCATTCACGAGGAAACTCGTGAAGGAGGCTACTGGACAGTTGGAGGCAGACTGCCTCCTACAACAACTGAGGGCAGAGGAGTGACGCTCACAACGAGTGGCGGATAAAATTCGGCAAGTTTGCACAGTTGGGCATACAGCTGGTGTATCTACCAAGCATCTCAGCCAACCTTTGGAACCTGGGTCTGTCCCGTGACGTCTTGTCAGCGAGCCTTCGACACTTCGCGTGGCCTGAAAGTGCACCTGGCCTGGCACAGGCGCCGTGGTGACATCATCGCTACTTAGTGGCGAATGTCGGTTGTTGTTTTTGTGTTTCGTGTTGTGAGTGATTGTGTTGATGATGTGGGTTCATGGTGTGAGTCCACATTGTGACTTGACTCGTGTTGAGATGTGGGTGCCGTCACACCCCCTCGACTCTCTGTGATCCTCGGCTTCGTCTCCTGCTTCGCACGCAGAGACCTGGACTGCGCGAGAGACGCTGTTAGTTCTGTGCACCCTGCTCTGCAATTGGCCACCATGGAGGTACGTGTGGCTCTTCGACTCGTGTGGTGAAGTATTAATGGACGTGTGCTCTCCACTCCGCGTGTGGCTACCTGTCACCTATCCATACACCTAAGTGTGCATCTGCTTGGCTGCCTGAGTGTGTGTGCATCTATCAGAGTATCTCCCCAAGATCCTCTCTGTGTACCTGCCTTTCTACGTTTTAATAATCTACTGTACTTTTATCTATCCACTACTGGATGAAGGCCTCCTTCCTTGAGACCCTGCTACCCCTCACGATCCTGCGATGGAATAATCCACCAAGCACCGATTTTGTCGCTCCATCTTTCTAGCAGCCGTCCTCTCAGACGTGTTCCGATACTTGGCTGCACCTCCGTTATTGTTCTTGACCATCAGCCATCGTTGTTCCTCGTGGCTGTGGCATGTCCTGGCCCAGCCCTACTTCTCTTAACAGTTTGAAGGATGCCATTAACCTGCGTGTGTCCTTTAAATACACACATGTTACGCTCTGGGCTCTTATACTGTGACGTTCAGCCAAAGCCAAGAATGAGTTCTTTTAAATATATGTAAAATATTTTTTTTTTGCCTAAAAAGTGTAAAATTTTGGGAATTTTTTTTCACGAACATTAATTGTCTGGCACAACGAGTCTGTGTGGAAAATGTCAGCTCGATTGGGTCACGGGAAGTGGGTTAAAAAACGACCGAAAGATTTGCACGGTCCTAAGCAAGCAAGCACGCAAGCAAGCGAACTTAATATAAAGGATTTAAAAAGGATAAGCTCAAAACTTCCCCGTAGAAGTGGTTCAATCTTAATTTTAGAACTTTCGTGACTGCAGGAATTATTATCTGGTTCTTTCGGTTCAAGCAATCATCATCAGGTATAATGAAATAGCGTATGCTATTATTTAATTTAATTTATTATTTTATCTTTAGACGTGACTTAACCGAAAGAACCAAATAATAATTCCTGCAGTCACGAAAGTTCTAAAATTAAGATTGAACCACTTCTACGGGGAAGTTTTGAGCTTATCCTTTTTTCTCTCTCTCTTCTCTCTGCCTGTGTCTTCTCTTTGGAATGTTCACGCTTAAATTCGAACTTAGCAATCTTTGAAATACGTAATCAACCAGGCTATGCGTTAATTGTGTGTTGACCGACCCTCTGTGTTGTATTACATTACATTTCGATATTTTACTAGGTTATTGAATTTTAGTTTGTCCTTCTCCTGATTTTCAGACTTGCTTGCCGTGTCAACACACTTGCAGAGCCTTGTTTTTTGACCACTCATTGATATGCAAATGTTTTCTCTGGCCCCTCCCTCTCTCTGCCTCCTCCCCCCTCTGTCTATTTAAGGCCACCCCACAGAGATGATCACCCCTCTCTGTTACCTGTGTTGCTCCCTCTATGTATCTTGGTGATATCTGTCTGCTAATATGTCTGTCTATAGTTTTCTGGTTAGATTTTGTGTCGCTATTTCATTATACCTGATGATGATTGCTTGTGTTGCAATCGAAACGTCGTATGCTATTATTTAATTTAATTTATTATTTTATCTTTAGACGTGACTTAACCGAAAGAACCAAATAATAATCTGACATTGGCCAAACATCCGAACGCTGAGAACTGACATCTCAGCAGGACCCTCCTGAATGTGGAGCCCAGGATCTCAGAGATCCTGGCTCAGTGCTCGCCGCTTGCACTATCCCCCACATCTTGCTAAAGCCTATGTGGTGGACCTTTGTCTTTGTGTGTGTGTAGATGAGCCAATCTGGAGAGGCGAGGAATAAGGGCGAATTTTGTACCACGTGGAGGGCGCTGTCCTCAGAGGGCACCGCCTCCATCTGCATCAAATCACCGCAAGGTAAGAACAGGAATGAGGGATGTCACAGAGGGCCAGAGGTGGGACAAAGTCATTGTTATGCAAGTCCAAGTCGAGTCTGAAGTCATCAAATTCATGACTCGAGTCTGACTCGAGTCCAAGTCACATGACTCGAGTCCACACCTCAGAGGTGGGACAAAGTCATTGTTATGCAAGTCCAAGTCGAGTCTGAAGTCATCAAATTCATGACTCGAGTCTGACTCGAGTCCAAGTCACATGACTCGAGTCCACACCTCTGCAGAGGGCCATGGTGGAACATCCCGATGGCCATGTTGCATGGTGGATGTCACAGTGGCCATGATGCATAGAAGATTTCATAGCGGCCATGATGCATGAGTGATATCCAGGTGGCCAAGTTGCATGGGGGACTTCATGTTGGCAGTGTTGTATGGGGGACTTAATGGTAGCCATGTTGCATGGGGGACTGCATCATGGTGGCCATGTTGCATGGGGATGATTATTTGTGCTCTGGCCCCAGCACATCACACGCTTTCAGATGCGCTTCCGATATTAGGAAGCCACTGGAGCGATACACTTTTAAATCATCTAGATTGAAAACTAATTTCTTGAGAAATTATTTGGGGCATCAAGTCCGATTTAGTTACATTTAATTTGTATCCCGAAGCACCTCCATATTCCGTCACTAACGCCAGAACGGCGGGGAATGAGGCCTCCGAATTTGGGTGATGAACAGGCGTCGCCACCCCACGCCAGCAGGGGGCAGCATAAGGGTAGCCGGTTCGTGAAGACCTGGCCCACACCGCCTGGAACAGTGGAGAAGTATCAATAAGCGTGATAAGGGAGGGTGGCTTGCTACAAGGGGTAGGAGTGGTCCCTTCATCGCACCTTCTTTTCTCGTGATTAGACTGCTCTTTCTCTCCATCGCGATGCTCAATGTTTACTTTCAGTCGGAACGCTCCGGATCGCTACACCGGGAATAATTTTGCACTCGCACTCACCAGCGTGGTGAAATATTATCAAATGACCCCCATTGTTAACGCGACGTACGGGAGGGGCCTTCATCCGTTGTTGTGCTGAGAATGACTGGAATGGATTTTATTTTTGACGCATGCTGCAGTATCCTGCATTTGGGGAGTGGCGGTGCAGTGATTGGTGGTCTCAAGCTGCATTTCCAAGAGGGTCCTGAGGGCAGGAGCTGAATTGGTCGTCGTGTGTGGCAGGAAACTGGAATGCCCGAACAAAGCCTACGTATATGGAGGGGCTAACACCCAAGGAACTAATTTTATTTTTGTTCATCAGACAGCCCCAAAGACCCACACACACAAAACAGCCAGCAAAAAACATGACTATTAAAGGTGTCACCGATAAAGAGATAATAAGTGTCTTGAATCGAGCACGGTTATAGGAATATTGGAAATACAGGGGGTAAAGTTTACGTGTGTCTGTGCGTATATTGTGTCGTGTCGGATGTGTGAGGAATTCCACTTCAGCCTTTGCAGTCTGTCGCGAGAATTATGAAATGCTCCACA